TAAAATTGGAAACTAACTTTTCCTAAAAATCTAATTTCTATATCAGTGGGATTCTCCAATTAATATCCCATGATTCTAGGATATCCCATGATTCTAGGAAATTAAGTTTCCTAAACTGATGGACCTAAAATTATGGAGAATCAATCAAAGAGTCAATCTTCTACTTTCCAACAATATTCTCCAACTTGAGGGGGAGTGTTAGAATCAGCCAAGGTAGGGTATTTCAGTCTTTTCATCATAAGTTAAGATGTGTTGTCTTTTTGGTACTGTGCTAAGTCACACTCCCCATACTTAAGTGGGGGCATATTTGACATTGTACCTTGTTTTGACATATATATATATATATGGTCGGCTGGGAAAGTCTCTTTGACTTCTCAGTTCGACACTTCTTCCTTTTCTCTTCTTCTTCTGTCTTTCTCTCTTCTTTATCTCTGAAACTGGTTTGACTGAACCATTATCACACACCACGTGTCCTTGCAGGACCTCAGTACTTGGGGCACTCCCCTTCCCAACGCATGCGTACAGGAACACTAGCTACAACACCCCCCTCTTCTCCCTTTGGAACTTGCATACTTTTTTTCATTTGTGATTTGATCATTGGTCTAACTTGAGGCCTATGATCTGGCCCTCAATGAGGCACGTCAGTGTGTCTAAGTATGACTTGAGATCTAGGATCACCAACTCATATCGAACTTATATCACATGATGTGGCAATTGAGGCTTCACTTGCGATCTGGCATTGCTGACTCACAACACACTTGCATCACATCCTGTATGGCGTGTGATTGTTAATTCCATGTCCTTACAGTGTTAATGTTAAATTCCCCATAAAACCCATCATCCTAAACATCTTTATAAAGCTTCACCAAAAAGTTACATTCCTAAACTTGGTTTCTGAATTTTTCATTTTTTCCACTCTCACAAAGAATTTGTAGCTCTCAGTGGTTCAACTCAAAACCTTTCTAATCCCTATAAACCTTCTCTTTAGTTCTAAAACCATCTCTAAACCCTTTCCAACACATTTCTACCCTCTTAATCTCACCCTCTTTTGATAGTTGCCCTACATTAATTGATATCAATTAAGATGATTCTACACCATATAGGATCAAATAACAACTTATTTTCAGAACACTTTGCTTTATAGCTAACATATATTATCGACTTGAGGGATGTGTAAGAAAGTTAAATTTGTTAGGAATGGAGGATTGAACTAGGCTGTAAAAATGTCATATTTGGACCAAATCTTCCTATATCTGAATCCACTCAGGATATCTGATTGCATGTTTAAATGGATTCAACTGCAATCTGGCTAATTCAAGCTAAACTTTGATTGAATTGCAAATATCCAGACTAATCAATAATCAGTGCTATCTTGACTGCATCTCATACACAAAATATTTTTCCATGTCCATAGTTTATATGCACTGAATAAGTTTATGACAATTTCATCCACATAAAGCATGAAAAAAGAACTAAATAGCCATACCCTGCAATCAATTCTTCAAGTTGTGGCTGGAGCTCTTTGTCCCTTAACTCCTCAATTCTCTTTGATATAGAGTCAATTCGGTGAATAGCAACTTTAATTCTGGAATGTAGATCCTTGACAACTGCACGAGTTTTATCAATCTTGTAAATATTTTCTTCCTTTGACTCTTGCTGTCTAAGCAGTTTACATTTCACATCATACTCCCTTCTGATCATCCCACTAGCCTGAAATATATAGATTTAGATAAAAAAGTGTTAGTCCTAGAGATTAAATAGTTGTTTTAATAGCTTTTATAGTCTCTCCAAACATAAATAGAAATTTAATGAATCAAGAAGTTGCATCTATTTTAAGAAAAAAAGAAATGAATCAAAGAGTGTACAAAAAAGGTAAAACAAACTACTGTTTTGGAGAACAAATTATAAGGTCAGAAACATGTAAAAAGAGCTCTTTTGCAGAACAAATTTATATTTCTATTGTTTTGAATGGATGATTTCTGTATCCCCTCCCCTCCAACAAAATAAATAAATAAGTAAATAAATACACTTAAATAATGTTCAACTATGAAGTTTCATCACATTTATTTAGTTACATGCCTTCCCTTCCATATGCCATACGTTTGTTATCATCAAATTAAGAAACATTTGCCCAATGAATCAAGCACCTAGTGACTGAAAACTAAATACCAAAAAAATCTACACGAAAGGGATGCTGTCAACAATTTTCTTTTATGATGGGCCTTTGATATATACATGAGGGAGAAAGTGATGCAGGACGTTTGTGATTCAGCACTATTCTTGCAACTAAACTCAGGTTGTAGGTGTGCAGAACAGAAAAAAAATATATCAGATTAAAAGAAAGAAGTGAAGAGAAGAGAAGATGAAAGAAGAGATAACCCTAGGCAATCACACCTCCAACTTGGCAATCACACCAAATTCTATAGAGAAACCTTCTTTGTTAATCAGCCAAAACTGTCCTTCCAAATGAACCTTACAAGCTTAATAAGAAGAAGCTTCCAAAGGAAGAAACTTGCCCCCCAAGTTAGCTTGCCTAACAAGCCACTTACAAAAAGAAGCTAGATTAGACAAACCTGCCCCGAACAATTACAAACATAAATCTAAACAAAGGAAAATTACTAGACTAAGACCTGTTCCCAAACATAACCCCCCTAAGCATGCAAAATTACAAAAATACCCTTACTGTCCAGAAATGTAAGAAAACGAAATAAGTCATGTCCAGCAGCAAACTCATCCACACAAAGAGCATCTTAAGGTGGATTGAAGGCTCTAGGGTCTTCCCAAGTTGATCCACTGCTAATCTAGCTCCCATGTGGCCCCACATCTTCATAATTATGCCAAATGAGCATAGGAGCAGTGACCCAGAAAGCTAGTTGATCCCATCAGAAAGCTAGTTGGATCAATGTTTTGAACCCATCATTGTCCCAACTGATCAGACCAGTGACCCAGTGACCCAATCTCAACCCCAGCTTGGTAAACCTCTAACCAGTTATGTTACAAAAAACTGTTGACTCGGTCAATGACCTGTCAACCCAGAAGGTTAAACAATTGACTTGTCTGACATATTCAATGGATTACTGGTTTTTTGCTTTTTCGTCAATATCTTAATATTGATGACATTATGGATTGACCCATTGACCCATACAGTTGAACTAACCTGATGACCCAGAGGGAAAAGTGGCCCATACAGTTGAACCGCTGACCCAATCACCAAGAGGAAAAAGTTGTTCAACCTCTGATCAAGGTTTTATAACACTGAGTTGGACAACATATTTATGCTTCTCTTTCCTCTGGTTTTGTGGTGTTAACATTTGCACTATCTTAATCAATTCATCGAAAGGACGTTTTTCATGTTATTATATAAACTTTTAGGATACCTAAATCCTTACGTCACCATATAACTTCAATGTATTAGAGAGGACATACTTAAAATAAAAAATAAAAAACAAAGCCCATGGAAAAGGAATGTTGAGTTGCCATGAATTTCTCCAGGACAAATGGAAGAACAAGAAAAAAAAATTATGTACTTGAATATTTTTCAGCAACAAAAAACAAAGTTAAATCTTATCTAGAAAGCCTTTTTTTTTATTCAATTTCATAATTGGTCTAGCAGTCATCCCTTGCACCAGAAACCTGTAATGAGGCCATCAAGTAATATCTTGCCAGTTCAGCTTGTGAAATCTATACTTCAAAACATTAGAAGAATTGAATGTTCAGAGACTTGGTAATGGACTGGGTCTCCATCTGATTTGATTCACTAGGCCATGATATTAAGTTACAAGTAAAAAAATTTCAAGCCATTTTACAATTACCTAATTAAAAATATATAAATGAATAAAGTAGAATCACAACCACCCATCATTATAACAGTATCACAGTTACATTTAAAGAAAGTTTACCTTGACTTCATCATAAAGTTTTCTCTCCCATGCATATAGCCTATCTAAGGTTGATGCATGGCTACCCGAGTTCATGCAGAAACTGTTGTAGTTGTTTATGTCCTGCATGTCATCCTTCAAAGTTGAGCAGAGGGGATTCCTGGATGATGAGGAACAAGATGATGCCGATCTATGCCAAGTTAAGTATTTCACTTCAGTTGGAGCAGGTTCTAACTCTAAGCATACATGAATAAAGGAACAGAATTGAATCAGAATCAAAACCAAAAATATCATAGAATTTGCTAAATTAGAAAGGTATAAGGATGTAACCAATGAAACACAAGAAGCTAGTTTTCAAAAGAAAGAAATTTATCTGGTTTTATAATTAATCACTAGAAATTTCATAAAATTGTCAGTGATACTGAAATATGCATGTTTGTGTAGAAGAATGTACATATACAAATAATTTATAAAAAAAAAGAAAGTATACTTCATTTATCTGTAAAGTAGCAATTTTTAAATGCAAAATCACAAGACTCAACACAAAATGGATAATCCGATGCTCCCTAATTAGTGCAATCAGGTTTCCTAAACAAAGTATACCATCATAGTTTTCAAGGCGCCAAGGCGAGGCTAGGTGACAGGGAGGCGCCTTGTCGCCTAGGCAATGGACATTTTATGTGGAAAACATAGATCCTAGGGTATTTCCCTAGGTACCATAACCATACTTCCTTAATAATTATTCATAATTTTCATAAGAAAAGTATAGAGTTCATGTAAAAGTATAGAAAATCAACATATTAATGAGAAGAAAAAGAAGGAAAAGAAAATTCAAAAAATATAGGAGCTGAACCCTTATTTTTGTTATAGGAAAAGAAGAAAAGAAAAGAAGAAAATTCAAAAAATGTGTTGATTGGACAAAATTTTAATTTCTTCCTTACTTATTGGTTCAGTTTTTAAAGTCTTTGAGGGTTCAATACAGCATTTAGTAATGTTTCTATTGATTAAACTCTAACAAATAAGAAAATAATAAAAAGAAATTAGAATATAAATACACAAAATGAATATTTTAGTTTAATAGTGCCTATTTTATAATTATAATGTCAAAAAAATAAAGAATAAAAAAGTATTTTTTAATACATAGTACAAAACTACTTGGCGATTAGATGAGGCGAGCCTCAAAGTGCGCCTTGTCGCCTAGGCTGACAACTATGTATACCATAGACCTTTGTTTGCCAAGTAATGTATTAATCTAATTTGCAATATTTCTGTCACAATTACCCCATTCCACCTCCAAAGAGACAACTTGACATATTTCTGTTAGGGATTGATTTGGGAATATGTCCCATTTTTTTATGAATCAGGCACATCCACATGTAAGGGACCATGCTTGGTGCAATGTTTAAATCTCAGGCTGCCAAGCATAAGTTCAATACATAGGATGCTTTTACCTTTCAAAAGCATGCACTTTTTAACTAGTAATTTGGGGTGACCCCTTATCAGAAATGGATTTCCCTAAATCACCCTCTATTCTTTATGTTAATCAGTTAATGAAATGAGAAACCTGATAATATCATATCATGGGTTGATGCTTATAGATATGAAATTGTGAATAGAATCTCTTCACTCTTATCAGAGACAGGTCAATGTTTTTGTCTACCAGTCCCCCCCCCCCTTTCTTTCTTTTATCTCCTCTCAATGAGAAACTGCCCTCCTGGCCGAACAACAATATTAAATTAATATCATTTAAGTGTCTTTCAAAGAGGTAAATTCAGTAGGAGCAATATAACAAAGATGGGGAGACCAACCTTCAGGAAAATGAGTTGGATCTTTACCACATGAGAAACAAACCTTGAATAACAAAGATGCTGTTGAACTCCCTGATACATCACAAAAGCTCCTGGTTAGATTATCCCACTCTTCATGTCAAAATCTTCCTAATCAAGACCTAGAATTGCCTCTTAAAGTAGTCTATGGTGATGAGGCAATGTAATCAATGCTCTTATGCAGCCAATCATCTATCCTTCTCATGACTAAGGTTTTCAAATAGTTCAATTTAATCAGCCTAAACTAGTAAAATCTCCCATTCAGAATTACACTACCAAATCAACCATATAGGATGTAGTGGGGTTACCACTATTAGGGAGCTTTACAGGTAGACCCATCTTCAGGGTGGTCTAGACCTCTGTAATATCACATAGATGGTGGATTTGGGAAAAGATCCAGAAGTTACCAGAGCACCTCCTTACATTTTCTATATTATTTGAAAGACTCCGGAGAAATATAAAGAGAAATATTATCATAAAAGAACAATGGGAAATGTCACCTCACCTTCTTTTCCTGGAAATATTGGTCGGAAATGCAATTTATTAGCCTCTAGCATCCTTGGAACTTCCTTTCCAGATTCAGCAGCTTTGGAAAATAGAAACTCAATTTCTTTTATGCTTGCCAAGAAATCCTTAGTACCAAGTTTATTTTCAAAACTGCCTTCTTTCTCTGCTGCTTTCTTTTCATCCATGGGAAGAGTAACCACGGAAGATTTAGTGTTTAATGGAGTAAAATCAGGGGAAACACTTTTCTCCCCATTCAAGAGTTCAGTTTCTGAGCTTATACTTCTGGTAGATGGCATAGTAGTGGATCCGTTGGTCAAATGAGAATCCGACACCCGAGTAAGATTTTTAAAACTTCGAACAAGGTTAACTGTAGAAGGCTCATCAAATTCATCTTCAGACTCCTGGGACTCTGCTCTTCCATTAGAAACAGCCTTTTCTTCTTCCTCTTCTAGTTCAGGAATTCCCTCCTCTTCTCTAAGCCGTCTTATATCATCAGCATTGTCCAGCCCATGGGTCAACCCCCTAGAATCTTGAAAGGAAAACTGATCATCAATTGGATGTAATGGACCAAAATAATCCCAAGGTGGAGTTGCAGGGGCAAGGGGACTTTCTCGAAATGGTGATGTTTCAGGTCTTTCTCCAGATCGAGGTGTGAGGTTTTGATGAGTACTCATAGAGGATTCTAAAGTCCCAGTTATTGCAAAAGGAGGCTTCTCTTCAACTGTTGTGGAAGAACTGCCTGTTTTCATGTAGTTTACCTGAAACCGGCCAGAGTAGGGAGGTGAAGGAGTTGGAGAAAAGGTTTCAGTTGCATCAACATGCTGTGACATAGATGGAGAAGAGTATGAAAATTGGGAAAGCGATTTCTCAGTCAAAACAAGTGGTTCAGGTGTTGCATTTGTGGAAGTATACAATGAAGATTCTATTGGAGCTTCAGGTCCAACAAACTTCCTGAGTGCAGTCCCCATGTTTTTTAGTGAATGAATGTAAGCAACATGAGTATCTGCTAGTGAACATCTCCCATCAAGTGCTTGCTTAACAAATTTCTTCCTTTCCCGACAGAGTTGCAGGGCCTTGTCATCTTCTATTCTAGAGCTTGAGACTCCCATTTTCAAGACAATGTTGACAGATATTTCTCCTGAAATCTCAAATTATTCAGAAAGAAATAAGAGGCATGCAACCAAAGTTGACAATCCAGTTTCTCCAAATTTCACGCATTTCATTTCAGTCCAACCCAAAATCTAGAAGAATATAAAAACCATTACTCAAGAACTTCTCTTCCTTGAGAAAAACACATTGCCCAAGACCCAACCCTTCCAAATATAATTATCCACAATTTAAATCTCCAAATCTTCATTTACAGAAACAACTAAGAAACCTAAATGAAACATCAATAGCTCAACCAAATTTTAAAGAAATTCAAAAGCAACAACCGAGGTACCCAACTACACAACTACTTTCAGAGTGGAATATAAAGAAACAGAGAATCATCCCAGAAGCACGCTTAACACCACCAATTTTAGTAACTGTAGTGGGAAAAAATCAAATCAGTCGCATAACAAATAATAGCAAAGAAGAAAGAAAAGGAACCAAAAGAATTGAGGGAAATATTCATTGAATTCTAAATCCAGACCCAAAACAAATTTGAAAGAACCTTGAAAAATTAACATACAAGAACAAAGTAAAGGATTTTTTCCGATTACGAACAAGAAATTTAAGTCAGACAGATCAAACCTCGGAAAGGTAGCTACTATCGCCACTGACACAACTTACTCATTAATATGGTATCTTTACTCTAGGTGGTCAATCCGAATTAAAAGCACAATGGTATGATAGAAGAGAAAGGGAATGGCAACTAAGAGGAGAAATTCTAGCTGTGTTGTGTATGTGTGAGAGAGAGAGAGAGAGAAACTTTACAAAAATTCACATCTGAGAGTTCAAAGTAAACCTTTATAATTGGAATCAAAGATCTAAAAAGTACATATGAAACAAAAATCTGCATATAGCAATAAATTTCTCGTTTAATCTTCAAATTAAATACAAAAAGCTCATTTTTCCCACCTGAAAAACAACCACTAATCAAGTGAGTTCAGATCTGCGCCCCACGACGGGACGCCCCACAACGTCCCACAGCGCATCCGTATTGGGAACATTTCCCGATGATGATGACATCATCAGCTATGTATTATCATCGGGAGATGTTCCCAATACACGGCGGGGATGCGCTGTGGGACATTGTGGGGCGCAGATGTGAACTCTAATACTTGCAAGATTAATCTGAAAACCCATCAAAGAGCAACATGCCCCTTTCTTACTAGAATTAATCCATCAAAACAAGAGATAGAGATAGAGGACATACTTCAGAACTCAGAACACCACAAGGAAAAAAAAAAAGAAAGAAAGAAAGGAAGTACTCACCTTGTCAAAAATTGAAATCATAGAAATCCGAGCTCAAATTCAAGGTGTAAGCCTCGGTAAAATAAACAGAAACTCTAAACCGTTTAGGTAAAAGACAGAAACTCTGAACTGAAAATGAAGAAAGACTCCGCAAAAGAAGAATAAGTAATACCAAAATTCAGTCCCTAGAGAGAGTCTCAAGGCAGACACAGAACACCCATTTCTTATCGAATTCACAAAAACTCGATCAAACCGACCAGCTAAACTGAAACCCAGATACAGAAAATTGGAAATCTCGACGGACATGGAAAAGAAGTAAAAAAATAAAATAGAATTAAGATTAAAAAATTGAGTACCTGCAATTAAATCTCAATCAGTGTACGGTTATATTGGAATTCAGAGACGACCCATATAAGGGAATCATGAAACATCGAGAATGGAATTAAGAAGCGTCTGCTGAGAGATGACAAACCGGCCATGGTTTCATGAGAAAGAGTATATTACCACTTGAAAAGCATAAAGACATCCTTACAGAACCGAAAAAGAAGCATAAAGACAAACGACTGTGTATGTGGAGCCCCCTCTATGGAATAGAAAGGAAATCCAAAGTTAGTAATATGATATAGAACACCATGGAACAGATTCTTAGTCTGTGAGAAGTACAATGATCCTTGGATTGGAATTTTTCTGATCTGGAAAGGTTGATGATTCAAATCCAATTGCTATTTCAGTGATGTACAGTCATATTGCATCACCGCCATGGACTCATGTTCAGTAACACGCGAAATGACGGAAATACCACTCGATATTATACGTTTTCTCTCCCAGGCCGTAAAAAAATGCTGTTAAAGTTTTCCAAAGAAAACAGTTTTGAGGGGAACGTCATAAGTGGGAGAATTCTGTTTGGTTGACACTTGATAGTGATAAGTCGAGAGAAGAAATATTTTTCCTACTTGCAGTCGAGTTGGATCTGGACCATCTAGGCAGATTTGGGCCCAATTTATTAATTGGATTTGGATTCTAATTTAACCGGAAAATGTGTCCTAGGTCCGGCCAGGTACTCCCAAAGTTGTAATGTAATGAGAGAGTGATGATGAGGTGATATTTTCAAAAATAAAATAAAAAGTCTTTTCCTAAATATAGGGCGATGAGTGTAGGGCTGTCAATGGGTCGGGTCCGACCTGACCGAGCCAATGAACCCGAACTGATTGGACCGGTTCTGGTTCTGAGAATTGGAACCGATGGATCGGTTACGGGTCCTGATATAGGGTCCCGATTATTATCAGTTTGAAACCTGTTCTACCTAGTCCCAAATCGATTTAAACCTGACCCGACATATATATAATACAATATATAATATATAATATAATATATTATATATTATATATTTATATATTATATATTATATAATATAAATAAATTGTATAATATATTAAATAAATTATATATATACTATACATATAATAATATACAATGTTTAATATCTATTAAACATAAATATTTATTTTTTATTTATTATAATTGAGTCTGTTCAGTCACACCCGATTGTCGTGAGAACCGATAGATTCAATTCCAAGTCCAAAAATTATAGACCCTATCGGGTCCGGGTCCAAGTCCTCAACCTTTCGTATTGGGTCGGTTCAGATTCCAGCTGGTTCCAACCCGTTGATGCAGATGGTCGAATCGTCGTTAAGATTCTCAATTCGGTTTTTTTCTAAAACCCGGACTTTCGGAGAAAAACCTATCAGGCGGTTGAACTGTGATCCATTTGATTCCGTCACTGATCACAAGTTAGCATGTAAATTTTTAGAAGGTATAAACTTTTCAGTTGCATGTTCAATTGGAATTTGGAATGTTTTTTTCTTACTTTGGATAGCTTTTCAACATGTATGCATCCTAATCTGCTTTTAAAAAATCCTTTTTCTGACTGCAATTTTTAGCATTTTTTATACAAGTAAAAAATTAAAACTAAATTAACAACATAAGTTAATACTTATAATACATATGTTACTTGTAAAATATAATTATGCATTATTTTATTTATAGAATACATATTTATACCTATATAATATATAGATACATGCAAGAGACGAGCTAAGTAATAAGGTGGGAGGTCCCCCAAACCATTTTTTAAAAAATTGTTATTCTGCTAGTTTAGGGATGAAGCAACGTAATATTTGTGAACCAGATTTCCTACTACATAGTAACCCAATTAACCATGACATTAGCTCCCTATTAGTAATTCTTTAAAAGAATCTCTATTTTTAGACAATTTTTTTTTAAATAAAACCAATATCTACACATATATCCATTATGTGTTTGAACATCCTCTTCCATTTTTCTCTTCTTCACTTTTTCTAAAACGTTAGATCCTTTTCCATTTCCTTTTCTCTTTGCACAAGTTGACAATCTTCTAACATCAAGAAAAAAAAATCTTCAAAACACCTCAATTTGGGAACTAAACACATGAGTGAAAGAGTTTGGCTTATTATAACTTTTTCCTAGATATATAAGCCAAAAGAGATATATAACTCGCCCACCCAAGAGAAAATTCCTAGATCTATCATTGCATACATGCATATATACATACATACATGCATATATGTGTGTGTGCACGATGATGGTGATGAAGATGTGGTACGGGCCAAAGAATAGAATTTTGTGACTTACAAGCCTACGACTAGATTCCAAAGACCAAGTGGAGTGGTTGTTGTGAGCCTACAACTGGATTGCTAGAGCTTGATTGGTCGGAGCATGGGATTTTGCAGCCGTGCAGCATTGTTGTGTATTTGTGTTCCGGTAGGCGGCGGTGGTGGTGAGTCTGAAAACTATAGAGAATGCTATGTTAGAACTTACAAAACAGTGCCCTAATAGAGATTATTGAGTGTTTTTCTTGGAGGGAATAAAATAAATTATAATTTTTAGAGGTTAAATATTATATAACAATATATATATATATATATATATATATATTATATAATAGTACTCAAATAGGCTCACGAGCCCATTGAGCCGAGTATTCAGATCCTCAAGTAATGAACCGTTTTAGGATTTGAGCTACTTGAACTCGACTCAAACTCAACCATCAACGAGTCGAGCTCGGGTATTGATCTAGTCAAGCTCAACTAGCTTGCGAACAGTGTTGTATCACTTACACCTAGGGATGTCCATGAAAAACTGAACCAAACCGAGAAAACCTAACCACAAAATGCAGTTAATCGAACCCATCGGTTCGGTTTCAGTTCAGAATTTTTGAAAAACCAAAGGACCGGTTCGGTTTTCAGTTAACCTACAAAAAAATTGGCGGTAAACTGAACCGACCAAAATATATATATACATATATATATATTTAATATATGTCACATATTTTCTATATATTATATATAAATATATTTTCATTATATATAAATATATACTTATACTATATTTATAATGATCTATTTATAAATATATTATATATTTTTAAAATATTTATAATATATTATATATCATTTATTATTTTTAATATATCATTATACATATATTTATATAATATATATTATAAATATAAAAAACTGAAGAACCGAACCAGTCAAAAACCGAAACCGGCAGACCGGTTAACCGGTGGTACCGGTTCGGTTTACGAAAAAAAGGCCATGGTTCGGTAAACCGAACTGTGGACACCCCTACTTACACCCCTAGTCAAAACGATGAGTTGCAACCTAAAGGCAAAAACGATTCGGCCTTTGGGTCAGTTTTTAAAACATCGCTCCTACTAACAAAATATATTCCAACACCAAGAGATCTAAAACCTTTAGGGGCTCACATGGCTTTGATGGTTGGTATGTGCCATTTGAGGATTGATTACTCACATGACTGACATATCTAGCACTAATAAAAAATGACTAGGGTCTAAAAACATTAAACCCAAACATTATAGGATCCAATTTCCAATGTACATACTATAAAGCAATGTTTAGTGAACTAGACCAGGCAAAGAGTCAAAAAAAGAAGAGATTCACGGGTCATAGGTTTAAAACTAGAGGTCAAACCGTGATGATGTAACATATATGAATATATAATGTAGGTCACATAAATACTATATAATATATTTTACAAATAATACAATTGTTGTATGTGGTGGATAGATGGTTTTTTTTTTAATTTAAAGCAAATAACAAGAATTCAAGTCCATCAACCCTTACTCTCTTTAAAATGTGTTTATTAAAGCAATATATACACTAAAGAGGCACAAATGAATATAAAAGGTCATGGATTTAAATTTTGTCATTAGCATTTTGCAAATTCCATTCATCTAGGGATCTAGGCAGTTGTATGAAACGAGGACCAATTCATCAATTCTTTGGTTAAACCATGTGGTCAAGTCAATTGGTTTGATTGATTTCTTATGAGTTCCAATTTTTAGGATATGATTGAATAGATCAAGGGTCTAGGTCACAGTTCAATTGGTATGATTGGCCAGTCCAATCCAATTTTCTAAATGCTAGTATAGAGTATTGACAATTGTAAGATATATTGCCAACTCTAGGTCTACTACAAACAATGCACATACAAATGAGTTACATAAGTCGTGATCATGGGCCTCAATCAAAGCCCAGGCTAGGCTTAACACCCACTTATAATAAGAGCCATTGCGGTCTAGGTTGGGTCCAAGTCTATGTGGATTGTGGACAAGGCCAAACTTTGGGCCTATCATTAAATACATTAGATTTTTTG